GGGGGGGGTCAGTTACCCGAGAGGAATCTGTGCCATTCAGATGTGTTCTGGGAGGGATGTGCCGATCGGAATAAATTCTTGGTGGTAATGCGGTTTTTTCATTGTTTCCATGTACGGTTTGACAGTTCACTCACGCGATTCCGACAGCGTGAGGACACCTACGAAAGTGTTTCTAGGCGCTACGAAATACTCGGGACTCGCGAGAATAGCTTGCGTTTCGCCGGAGGAAATTATGTCGGACACGGAGTGAGTCCTGGTGGCTCTGGTGTTCCGTCTCCCCCCCCCCCAATGTAATCAGAGGATCTAGAGACACTTCCGGCACGTGACCAGAAGGTATAGAGCACCCCTGGAACAATTTTGCCCGAGCTCGAGATGTACCGACTGGAAACCACGACGAGGGGCACGCCGAAGAGTCCCATCGAAAGAAGACGCGCACTCGATCGACCCGTACGAAACTGCTCTGCACCGGACCGACGCACTCCGGAGTCCTTCGTTGCTAACGAACGGGTGGCCCACGGAGCTCCATAAATCCTTGCGACCCTTAGCGTGGTTGCAACCCTGCTTTAATATAAATATTTTCCGTAATGAAGGAAAAGGATCGCGGTAGTTTAATAGCAGCTTGAAATTGAACGATCTGCCGCCAATTAAGTTTGCCTGCTACTCCGAGCACAAATGATCGCATCTGGGATTGATGGAAATATACGGAATCATCAGGAAACTAATTGAGGAGAGCAACGACGCCAGAGGCTCATTCTCCAGACGGTATCGATGTTCCCTCGCGGGAGAAAAATAGTTTTTCCTGGCTGATAATCCTCTTCCACGCTAATGCAGGCGGGGAATACGAGGTCCTCGTTACGTGTCGATATCTTGCCGGGTCTCCCGGTCGGCCTCGTTTCCTTGGGTGATGCTGGAAGAGAGGAGCAGGATGTATGGGGATTTATAGGGGATTACTTCAGTTCAGTCTTAAATATATATATATAATACACGCGATGAGAAACTTTTCGTTAAGTCCAGGTGCCGTATTCTATTAAAAGCTTAAACTTCGCTTAAGCAAGTTGCTCAACCTCGGCCAGAAGAGGAAAGTTGCACTTAAGAACGAACCGAACGCGCCCGAGACCTCTCGACCGACGAGCCCTCCGCACCGAGACTCTCATCCTCCAAACGATCCGAAAGACACACGAACGGGACGAGCGATCGAGAGAGAAGTCATACGTAACTACGAGACAAATAGGCACGGAGGGGGCGGGAACTGAATTTACAAAGCTCACGGTGAGCCACGGGTGAGCGCGTGGAAAGAATCACGATTGAGTTTTTCGCTGCCAGACCCACTGGTTCATAGCACAGTAGCATCAAGACGTTGGATTTTCTCGACTGAGCAAGCAGATCACACAAACAGATCGACGACTGGAGATGCCCTGACCATTTCACTCGATCCCAACAACGAGCATTCCCGGTCTCAACGACTGGAAAGGCTCTACCGGATTCACTAACACAGATAAGGGATTTCGTGTCGAGTCTCGGCCGTCTAGAAGCGCGAGAAGTTGCCGAGGGTCGCCGTGACGACTCTCTGGCATTTCTTTAGGCTGTCACATGAGGGTAACCTCCAATGCAGGGGCAAAGATGACGTGGAAACAAGATTCCAGTTTAAACAAAAATTCCCTCCCTAACTACTTACATTACATGAAGGGGAAATAATTTATTCGCTTCCTTGCAAAAGGAATTAATTAATCACTTGGAGTCGCGGACGATATGCAAAACTCCCAAGACCCATGGCTCGCCGTAGGAGCTGGAATGCTTCCGGAGCGACTGCAGTCCTACTTGAATGGACCATGTTGATCAATGAGGTATACTGGTAAAGCAAATGGGATGGTTCCACTTCTTATCGGAATAGCTTAATTGAGATCAGCATTTTGGTACTCCATGGAGATTCTATCAAGATGCAAAGCAACCGTCATCCGCCTCTGACAGAAATTTAATTGGCCCTATCCAAAAATGGAAGGGGCCACTCAAATTCCGAGCCGGTCCCGTGACTCTCCTGTCTTAAGAAACGAAACAGTACTTTTCGCTGCGCCTTGACTCGACCGATTCACTCACTCGAGGCCAGAACGCACTAGAAATAGAAAGCAAGAGGACGGAAGAGAGACAGAGAGGGTTGGAGCGAGGATTCACATGAGTTGGTAGAGGTGGACGCTGTTGCCCCAGTAGTTGGCCACGGCCAGGACTCCCTCGTCGCTGAGGGCGATGCCAGACGGTCTGTTGGGCGGCACGTCCAGCTCCAACACGGTGAGGAAACCTCCGCCTGGTCGGAACACCTGTAAGGGCATGGCGATTGTTACATCGTTCACACTGTCTCGTCTGTTCAGCCGTGCACTCGTTGGAAACGAGGAAAAAGAAGAAGAAGAAGAAAAAAAAGAAACCATGGCGATGCAAAAGCCTGGAGAACATTTTAACATAGTTTATGTCGGCGGTGAATGCCTACTGTCCAGTTACATTGATAACTGTAAGACTTAGCGCACAGAATTTCTCGAAAGTTTCTCTCTATCGTGTCATTTTACCTTCCCATTTAAAGAGGTCTTTCTGGTGGCTCTCAAATGTATCTTTTCCCAGGCCCTTGAACACATCCATCTGACTGCAAAGGGCACTTAATTACCTTTAAACGTAATAAAGCAATACATATCCCACACCCTCCTTACCTGAATCCGATGATTTCGACTGTCAGCAACAAGTAAGTGCCCAGAAGGGTCAAAAGTGGCACCCGAAGGGTCTCGGAACTGTCCAATTCCTTGTCCGGTCCTTCCGATGATGTTGTAAACTGTGCCACATTCATCCGCCAACAAGACTTGGTCCACCCCTATAAAGCAATATGAAAATTATATTAATTCTACTGTAATCCTTTCAATAGAAGAGATAAAAAACACATCTTGCTCCTACCAAGGTCCACGATGGCAAAGAAGTTTCTGTCGGTTATGGGATCATAGTGGCAAGTCAGAAACCGGGGTTTGGATCGTAACCAGGTCATATTATTGAACGAAACATCGAGGGGGACCCGCTTCGTCACGAGTCCACGATCAATGAAGCACAAAAGGGGGCCTGAATACTGAACATCTATTGTCACAAGATTTCCCCTGGAATCCTTGGTGAGACCTGTCATGAAGAAAGTTAAATTCATGCTCAGGCAAAATTACACCATTTTCTGTCCCACTACAGTATTGGAAATTAACAGTCGAAGGCTACAATGACTCACCAAATGGCTTTTTCAGATCTGATGGCCGGACTCCTGCAATGTACTCTCCCTCCAATGTGAAGTAACTCACATCCCAATCACTTCGAATGGCGAAGGTGTTCTCCCAGACCATAGTGATGGCAGATGGCCGTCGCAAAGCTGTAGACAGGAGAGGTGGTTCCTCTCAGCATATTGAGTGAATCAAGTCATAATCAGGTAAATGGAGAGGCACTCAAGAATTCTCAACATGGGATTTGCAAGTCACAGATAGCCTTATGCTGGGCAGTGGGGACTCACAGAGCTTTGACAGTCATCATACAGTCTCTTTCAATCCATATATACAATTTTTTTCTATACTGAAGAGAAAAAGTAGTTTCTGAAATCAAAATATATTAGGTAAATTTTTAAAGTTCTATAATAGAATACACGTAACAAACACGCACAAAGTCGAAAGTCGTAGCATTAATGAGGTCACCTCATGGGGTGACAAAACCCAGCATATGGCATCTGTATGCACCATCACCAAGGTTGGAACATTATCTGTTTCATAAGCCAATTCTGACCTTACCTTGACAGTGCAAAAATACTACTTTATGGCATTGAGTCAACAGGCTACTACTCTCTCCTAATGCAGATAGAAGGCACTCACTTGACACCTATTGGAAGCATTGGTGAGTGACCATAATGACTTGATTTAGAAAAAATTGAAAAACTCCTAGAGTAAGAAGGATGGAGTAAGGCACAAGAAGGCCCTTACCTGACTTTGGTTGATTCACAACTCGTATGAGCTTTCCTGTGTTCTGAAAGAGCTTCAGGCAATCATGCCCCGTGTCTGCTACAATAATGTTCCCCTTGGATGTGATCTCAACCCCTATTGGGTGATCCAGGTCAGCTAATTCTTCTGCACCATGGGATGAGTCTTGTCCTCCACCAATTATTCCTATGAGTCTTCCCTGAATGCTGCTGGCTAAAAATACCATAAATACAAAGACAAATACAAATCTACCTCAACAACATGCTTATAGCAATGTTTTCTTGTTAAATGATGACTAAGATACTAAAAAATAATTAGTCCACTAGACAATTTGACATGAAAACATCCTAGTGAAACAACAATCTGCAGATCAAAACTAAATACTTTTTTTTTTACTATACTGACTATGGGCATAAATTTTAAGCCATAAAATTTCTCATCACCACATGTAACACAAAGGGACTGGTTTCTTTTGCAAGTTAGCCAGTTCATATCTTTTTTTTGTCACATGCACAGTTAGCTAGTCAAGAAATGAATGCTTTGCACAACAATAGATTATAAGAAGGCCACTAACATACTAAGTTGCACCCACTCTTAACCACTTTAATCCCAGTGAAGGTACATGTTGTCACTGTACCAATTAATATACTGACTTCCACGATTCCAGAGACAAACACATCATTTTTATAAGTGAACAGGGTCTGCACTCAATTTCTTTCTAGGATGCCAGCAAGAAAACATTTCTAGTGCATCATCTCACTACTTCATAGAGCCCATAGTTGGATTCATTAAAATAAGGAAAATAAAATCTTTAAACTACTTGCAAATGGACTAGATGGCTATTTTTCAACATCTCCAGAATCTTGTTGCTTTGTCTGGAGAATGGTACACAAAACCAACATTCATTCTAGTGCTTCTGGTTACTGCCAGCAGGAATACAGGCTTCTTCTTGAATATTGCATTAAATTTCCTCTCTTCAAAAATGTTTATTTTCTTAGCATTACAATGCAATGTCAAGCCTCAGAAAATCCTAATAGGAGGAATTTCTCAACTTCATTTTCTGGAATGAAAAAATCAACCAGACAAAAATGTCTGGGGTAATGTGATTATTGAGATTCTTCTGCAACTGGACTTTTTAAACATTTCCTTCAAAAGCTGCAATGCCAAATACAGACAAATATGAGAAAAGATCAACAGCTTACTCCTTTTGGCTGATAGCAAGGCTTCTATGGTGAACAGATAGGGACTATTGCGTGAGACAAGTCTCTCTGGCCATCTTATCCTCTCTCTGACATTCCTACGTTGCTCTGGCTGTTTCACCGTCCTCCCTTTAGCATTCCCATTGGGCTCAGGAGGTTTCACTTCTTCCTCTTTAAGCTGAATGTTCTCTGGCTTTCTCAGTTCTCTTGTCTTGGGTTCAAGTTGCTGCAAAATGTTAGAAAGAGAGACTACATTGAACTGCTTTCTTTGATAGAAAGACTGACTACTAGAACCCTTTGTTGGAATGCATCCACAATTGTGGAAATGATAAAAAAATTCCCAAATCTTAAATTTTTTCTAGCCCCACCTCTTCAAAACTTTCAAAAGAGCATTGTATCCATATTCTTAGATACCACAACTATCAGAAAAAATCAGAGATGATGTACCCTGCAACTCTCCAGTGCCCCACATTTTCCTTCCAATATGACATCCTCTAGACACCATAGTTGGAAGTAGCTGATGCCATTGTTTAATTTAATTTGCAATGAATGGTATTTTGAATTGATGTAAAAGCATTGGACTGCACCTCATTGGCAAGTTATTGGCAGCCATAGCTCTTAAACTTGCTTGTCCACTATATTTACTTATACTTGTTTAAGTTCAGGTCCCTAAAATACCACACTTCCAATAATTTCCATATTTTCTCCCTAGAAGTCATTATTGCTTTACACCTGTTCATCTGGTTCACCTGCACACAGATACAGCAGTTATACTGTATATATTATGTACTCTATGTATACAGGGAAAAGTAGTTCTATGGTTTATTGGGGGTGGAAAGCTCCTCACCGTAACCTCCCTTGTATCCTTGGTAGATGCTGATGTGTTGGTCACATTCCTGGCAACTTCTTTGCTGCTCTTTGAAGAATTACAATCCAATTCCTTCTGCTTTTGAGACATATGAGCCATGTTTCCTTCATTATGTCTGTTCTCAGCAGCAATGCCAATTGATCTCGCTATATCAGGAGTTAAAGAGCAGACTGGGTTCTCTAATGACACCATATCTGAAAGAGTCAATTTCACAGGAGCAGTGCTGGCACATGATTCCCACTGCCTTTCATCACCAGCAGCTGAAGATGGAGTTCCCTCTTCCTTCTTAATTCCACCCAATTCACATGCACTGAATTTAGGTGCACCTCCAATTCCTAATAAAAAAATACAGACATGAATATGAAATAAATCTCAGCACAGGCTCCTATGTAAGGGATGGCACAATATTGATAATTGTTGTGACAAGCACCTCTTTCAACTAACCCACCCTCTTCATTCTGGAAGATTGGGTATGAGATTTCAATAGACTAACATAAGGATAACATTTTTATTTCCCTTTACTTTATTTTCCCTGTCAGTGATGTAGATATTTTAAATGAAAATGCTACAAGAAACTTTGCAAAAGTTATATTTGCGACATGATCAGTACTTTCTCTTCATTTATTTTATCCCAGTGAGGTTGCATACTTTGACACCCAAACCATACTTGCAGGTGTGGTTTGGGTGTCAAAGTCTCAGATGCTGAGATATGGTGTCTGAGACATAATCCTCAAAGAGGGAGGCAGGACTCCAGCATGCTAAGCAAAATTTCCTTTTGAAACCATAAGTTTGATGCTATATCAAATGACACACCATCGTGTGGCTTTCGGTGAATGATTCTGATGAGCTCATCTGGAGAGGATGAGCGTTGGAGATGATCACCAGATGGGACTTCAGAAAAGGGTGTTGCATTTGCACCAGATAGATCAACACGTGCTGGTTGACAAACAGAAGGATTTGGACCAGCAACATAATAACGCTTCCGTTTTGTAGCAACTTCAGCTGGAACTAAGGACTCCAATGATGATTCAGGGGCTGAGGGTTGAGTCAATGCTTGAGTAGATGTACTCAATGAAGAAGATCTCCCCGAGGAACCTGTTATGATTGATACGAGGAATGGGAATAAAAGGCTTCCTGTTCTCCAGCCAAGGTTGACATAGGAGAGATATTAAAGTTTCCTCACCCTCATCTAGACCCAGAGAGGTGGAAGCATTATCTGTTGAATGGGGCAGAAGTGTTCGTTGGAGCTGAGAGACTGGTGCTTGCTGCTGATGGCAACTATTGCTCATGCCCAAGCGCTTCTGCACTTCAGAAGCTACAATGAAAAATAAAAAACATGGTAAATGAAGGTTCACCTACCAAGGTGGATACCATCTGAGATCAGCTTGAAGGCTTTCACATGAAGGAATATTAGCATTTTGTGGTTTAAAGGAATCAAATTATATCTAATTCCACTTAATATATTCAATACCAGATAACATTTCTACAATTTTCCTTATATCAATTCCATTAAAAACCAGAAATGGGTGGGAGAAATCACACTTTTTTTTCCAAACATGGACTGGGATGGACAAAGAGGCAAGGATTAACATCACATGTAAATGAACACAGAGTAGAGGAAAGGGGATCCTAATTGGATGGCCTTGATGGCATTGGCACACCTTCCCAAACTCTGTCACTATGTCACTGTTCTAATGGGTCCTGGGAAGGTGATAGCAACTTTATTGCCACCCAGGCCTGAGACCATCTATCACTGCACATTGAGCTGTCAGGGCTGATGTGGTGAGAGCTACTGAGGTGCACCAAAGCCCTACCTCATACAATGGAGCACAGCAGGATCTATGCTTGTGCTCAAGTGAGGGCAGGTAGTACCCAAAAGCAGTTGGGTGAACTGTTGACCCAGAGGATAGCATCTGCCAATGGTAAGATTCAAACCTGGACTTCATGCATGCAGGCCCAAGGTCCTATCTACTGAGCCCCAGTGATATGGTCATATTCTTCCCTAACTTTTACATGAATGCATAGTTTTAAGCTTAAGTCTAAAACTAGGCAAAATTAGTCTAAAATTTGCAGCAGTTATTTCAAAACTGTTACAGCCATAGCATAAATTATTGACACTGTTTCTGGCTAAGGAGCCATTATTGAGAGGTTACCTTTGACATCAACAAAAATGAAACTATCCTGAATGTCCTGTATTATACCCAACATGAATTCACAGAAAAATTAACAGAAGTAGTGACTTGTGTCTACTTTGCAGAAGAAATCATAATGAAGTCAAGTCAAGAGAGTTAGTGACATCAAGAGGCGATTTCGCCCATTTCGATATCACGTGTATTTCTCCCACCCATTTCTGGTTTTTAATGGAATTGATATAAGGAAAATTGTAGAAATGTTATCTGGTATTGAATATATTAAGTGGAATTAGATATAATTTGATTCCTTTAAACCACAATATGCTATTGTCTTATATAAAATGTACCTTTTAGCATAAAGTTGTCTACATGCCAAATAACCATGAGAGAATTCAATTAGCATAAGATGAAGTTTACATCATTCTTGGCTCTCTGAGATTTTTTGCTTTCAAACTGGCACTCCCAGAGATTAATGGAGGCACTTTCCCACATGAATGATACTGCTATGAAAATGTCAAATATTACTCACTTGCAATCCTCATTCTTCTTGCTCCAAGTTCCTGGGCAGAGAAGGACTGCAAGAGACAGCAAAAGCAAATTATGTCTTTGTCATCACATTCTACATTAGGCATGGCAAGATGTGATCTGGTCATAACTTCAAGTTGGATAGCAGGTCCTTATTCCTTAGAAAACTAGATGAATTAAATGGCAAAAAACTGTTGCACAAGTCTTACAGAGAAGGGCACATCAGCACAAAACTGCATAGAATAGTTAACAAATAGTAAGCCTAATCACTAGGAACACAAGTGGCATGGAAAATCACAAAGGCAGGAATATGAGAAGGTTACAAGTATTTTGAATGAATCAAATCCTTGATCCTTTTGAAATGGTGTCTTGATATTCCAAGGAAAGAAGAATTGAGACTTCAGGATCAGATATTCCCAGTATGTAGATCGGCCATTCAGATGCTGGGCTTTGACCCTTCCAAATATTTATTTCTCAGAGGGCATGTGAAGACTGGCATATTGGGAAACAGTTTGAAACCTGCAAGTCTCATGTGATGCAAGAGCACCTGGACATAATGGGGATCAAAATCTATCCTCATACTCATGAATTATGTAAGTGCACTTTTGCATAAAATTATTCCTATTAATTTTAGATCATGTTTTAGTCAGGAAGTAGCAGGCAATGGAACAGATAGATCTCCTCAACTAGCTAGACAAGCCCAAACCAGTTGAAGATTTCCTTTCAATGACTGTTGGGAATGAGAGGGGAATGTGGCAGGGAGGTTAAAGGAGGAAAATCTGAGCAGGGTACAAAATGTAGCAATGTCAGATATGGCATATAAAACATGGTTATAAAACATGAGTTCAGCTTGCAATCCTGTAGCCACTGCCACAAACAGCCCCTCTTTCCATTTGTCAACAATGGATCCATTAGCAATGAGTGATGGAAGGGACCTGGCAACTCTGGTTGAAGATATGATACCCCAATCCCAGGTAAGCACAGCACATGTGGCTTGAAGTCAAGCTCTTTGGAGGTTGATGGTTGCTCATGCCTATCCCTCTGCAAGTAAATTTCATGTTTTTGTCGTGCTTTGTATCCACATGTTCTATTTTTGGCAAGAATATTGGCAAAACAAACTCTAGTGTTTTCCCCATAGGTATCTGCATATTGACTTTCATAATGGAGGTACACTAAAGAGTAATGACATATGAACTCAGTGTTCACATGTAATTATATTGTGCAGTGTAACCATTATACTCTCTGAAAGTCTATTTCCTCCTTATCAAGCAATCAGCTTTTTATTGCTCCTTGTATTCTTGTCTGCATGCTTTCTGGAGTGGAAACAATTATTTTGAGTTGATGCTATATGTTGCTTTTCATATGCTGGTTCTCAACAATTGCAGTAGGGCTTTAGGTTCTGAAGAGAAACGCTTTTCACATTCATAAATGAACATCACTGCAGGTCATCACAATTGAATGGCAGTAGCTGTGACACTCATAGCAATCAAATCAATAGTTACATTGGACATAACTTCTCTATGGAATCATCATATTGCATTTGAAATAACCCTCAATGAATGCAGAAGCATGATTAGGGTGTGAGAGAGGGACACTTGGGATCTTGCAGAAAGATTGCTGAAAAGAAAGCCACAATGATTGGGGGCAAGCAGCAAGATTGTGGCTCACCAATTCAATTCACATGACAGTGTGGGATAACCTACCAGTGCATCCAATTGTCCATGTATGGGAAGTTGCCTTACAATTGCTGGGCTACTAAATGGGTGGTACATTTGCAAGCATATGTAACTTTTTAAAATATACTGCCAGAAAACCATATATACTAGCACAAAATAGGAGAATCAAAGCATACAAGTGCAAACTTTCACATCTTAATGCAGGACAGAGACAAGATTTAGGTAATGCAGATGGAGACTCCTCCATTCCTTTTTGTTCAAAGCCATCTGCTAGATATCCTGAGCCTGACTTTTTATAAGCATAACCTCTGTTTCCTTATTGAAATAATTCCTCCTAAAATGACAGGACAGAAAAAGCCTCACCACTTTTTGAGAAGGACCTGGTGGTGAAAGCTCTGCATTGACTTTGCTACCACCTACAGGAAAAGAACAGCAGATCTATAGCTTTCACAGAGAATCAATAATCCATTTCCTGGTAGTAGTGTAGATCATGGTATAAAATAAAAGCTGAAAAAGGAAGGTTAACAGACCCATTTGACCTCCTTAAGCCATTTATACATTCACAGAAATATCTCCTGTTCCTTCCCCTCCCTGCCCCCCTCAAACATAGTGATAGAAATAATAAGGTTACAGGCAAGGAGAGCCATAATACTTTCATTTTAAGGAATTGCACTTTGATTTATTGTGGTATCACAAACACCATTCATCAATAGTACCAAAAACTTTGATAATGCTCTGGATATGCAGTGATGGCCAAAATTATTGCATGCAACACTGGATTTTCAAAAGTTTTCTTTACTTTGGTAAATGCTCACAAATTTTGATTGGTATCTGTACTTACAATTACATGTAATTCTAAATGATATATCACTAATTAGCATCATCAATCATATGGAAAGCTATGTAACTTTCAAGTATGAATACTTAGTCCTTTCTTTATGGTATGGAGAATGGCATCAAAATTGCTACATTCACGTGATGGCAATTGGTCAAAGCATTCAAGGTTACTCAAAACTATTCCTAAAGGAAGTAAATATGGGTTACACAAACCAGTAACCAATAGGCCAGAGTATGCAAATAGTATGCACTTTCAGGATATGTCCTGGATTCATTTCTTGCTTGAAAAAAAAAAAGTTGACATGAAATGCATATCAGATGCAAATGACAATTAACCCTTACACCACCAAGCAAAAATACTTGTTTTCAAACTTTCATCTCTGGGTGCCAGGACTAAAAAAACCAGGTAGTCAAAGGGTTAATGAAAAACTGAAAAACAAAAAATTCTTCAAACATGAAACAGAAGTTAGTAAGTCACATGAGAGTAATGAAATGGCACCTATGCAAACAAACTTGACAATCAAATCATGGCAATCCTCTTGCAAGGGCTTCCTGTAGCAATGTATTTCTCCAGGTAATTACCTTTTTTGGCATATAAGATAAGTTTAAATAAATAAATAAAAATTAAAACAAAAGAATATAAATAAATATGAACATATATATATATAATTAAAGAGGTAAAAAAAAAATAAACCATGAGTTTCTTACTAATTCATCTGTTTTTTTTTATTTATAAATACTTAGTATCTTTTCTCAAGTTTTCTCAAAATATGTAGATCTTGACAGCTTGTCAAAATACAGTCAACATGAACATTTTCATCATTAAAATTTTTGTTCTGTAAGTTACATCTAGACTAGCAATGCAAAGTTTGTTTGTTGTTTTTTAATAATGTAACAGTTCCAGTGGACTCCAATGGATATCAGGGCCAATTAGACATTCCAATTCACAGAATATATATTTGGACAAAGTTTTCCATTTTTCAAAATCACTTCTACTTTTTAACCATTTTTACAGTGAAATTAACACTTCTACTTGTTGCAGTTGATTTTATTTTATGCAGAGTTTCCTACAAGTTCACATTATGAACTTGCTGAAAGGCTTTACCTTTGCCAGACTGACTAACAAACGAGTTCAGCCTGTTCACTGGGAAAATTATCTTGCACCCTAACCATCTTTTTTCATTGTTGCAAATGTCTTAATATCTAGTCCATATGATGTTCCACAACATATCGAGAAATGTTTGAAGCAGTGGATCATGCTCCTGTGATGCAAAATGATAATGCAGACTCACCATCAGCAACAATTGGGGTTTTCAACTGACTTGACTCCATTAAATTTGGAGATAACGTTCCATTGCAGGTCTTTCCACTATACTGTAAAAAGGATAATTGCATATCAATTCCTGTCTGCTTTGGAATGGTAGGCTATTGATTCTCGAAACAATATCATAAACATCTCATGCAAGAAGCAAAGCACTCCCCTTTGTTTTCTGCACCATAAATCATTACATTGCCACACTTGACACTTCCCATCCATTACTCAGCTTATCAATTCATGTGACAGACCATCAACATCTGCTGATATTGACCACTTCCTGTACAATTTAGATCTAGCTTCAGCTTTTGAGGTTGTTGCAGAACTTAGTGCATCTTGACTTGTTTGGTCCATGTCAGTTGTTGCAGCAGTTAGAGTCAACGGTATTCTGAGGAAGCATACACAAAGAACACAATCAAATAGCCTATAATGCAAAACCTTTTTTTGTTTCTTCACCCTTACCCATCCCTTTCTTACTAGTCAATGTACCAATGAAGGACAATCATATTAACCCAGTCCTAAGGTGTCACTATTTCCTGTTTGACTGAGAAATGACTAAGCTAAATTTGGTTTCAGATAAAACTAACAAAAATACAAAATGAAGATCCCTCTTGAAAGATTGTTAGTTCAAGATGAAATCATTTGTACTTTTGCATTCAGATATCTGGCTAACCAGTGAAAAAGAATTCAAAGCATCTTCAGTTAAATCTCGGAGTGCCCAGTCAAATTATTTTGGAGGAACATGGGAGAAAATTATTATTTGTCTATAAGGAATTATTGTCAAAGTTCATGCAGATAAGATCCTGAGGCTTTCATAGGTAGCCAAGCAAAAATTGGGGACATGCAAGACTATCTTCCATTGACTTAATTTTTGCAAGCAAAATGGAGCACAAAAAACTTGGTCCAATGACAGCAATTCCATCCTAACTCTTTGCAGTAGCTGAGTTCCCTAGGTCCATCCCAGAGATGGATCCTATGCCCCATTCTACCTTTCATCCAACTTTATTTTAAGTAGAAATCCAGAGATTTCCAACTTGAAATTGGACTTTGCAATCTTTGATCCCATACTGGTATCAAGGATTCCAAATTAGAGACATGGGAGAAAAAATATGAACACACCAAGCACTCTCGTATGACTGGAAATGTCCTGGGGCTGCCTTGAATGTGAAGTCCATACAACTTCAAGCTGATGATATGAGACCCTTGTTGACCAGGAGTGACAACTGCATTGATTGTGTTCCCCTGACAGCATTCCAAATCCAAGACAGTGCTCCGACCATTGGGATACTGAACCTCTCCAACAAGGTATTTGAACAGCTCCTGATCCACTGGCTTGCATGACTACAAATGACCAATGGTTTCCACTATTAACCACTTACCAGCTTCTATTTTTTTTCAATGAATTGAATAAAAAATGTTAATTTTGTATTGTAGATTTTGATTCTATAAACTTTGCTTGAACAAAATATGTATGTGCAACATTTTTAATTCATTTATTCAAGCAAATCAAGAATGGAACAATGAAACACAAGTCACCTGTGTCTCATGCAGGCAAGTCAGTTTTGGGAAGGATAATGTCACCTTCACCAGACAGGCAAATTACAGAAGTGGTTAACAAGGGAACTACTATCAGTTAGTATTCATAATTCAGAAAAGTGTACCTGGGTAGGAAGAATTGTAAATGAGTCAAGACTGACTGCAAGCAACATCTTATAGTCATATGTTGAACTGTCATACTCTTGTTCTGTCTTGCGCCTCAATTCTCACCTTTAAAGAATTTGCATTCAGATCAGGTTCATCCAGTCCGAGGTTTGCCTTCAGTTTACATTTGCTGGTAAAAGATTAACTCTTTTTGAATCCTGTTCAGATTCTATGATTGGTTATTACCAATGCCTTCGGTTTACATTCACCAAGGAGCTGTACAGACACCACCTCAGAAGAACATTTACTTCAGGTACACTCATGTTTCCATGTACTTCTCAGTAGAATTGTCCTGATTCAATGGTTCAAAATAATGAAAAAAAAACTACTCAGGTAAATTCCATAAACAAATTATCTTTTTTTTTAAAGCAATTGGTGATCCAAAATGGAACCAAATGATGACAAGCTATGCCATTTTCTTCCATCATAACATCATCACCAGTCTTTGGCCATTTGAATAGGTTCCCAAAACATCTTACAGACTTTACTACCCCAAGATCAACTCTGCCATTGATCACTTAACCAACATGCTTTATACAGTTTTTTAAATAGAATATTACACAAGATCCACTTTACTTCTTCAAAGCTTAACACGTTGACGACCAGCCTATTTTTGCTTGTCCGCCGCGTGGGACCATGCGCATTTTTTTTGTCAAAAAATGCGTCCTNTGCATCCTGGCATCAGGACGCATTGTCGCCAACGTGTTAATGAAAGTCTGTCCCCATAATTGCAGTCTCATTCTGAATAAAACCATGAACAGTTTCAAGTCAAATATTGCAATTTCAGATTCCTTAACCCTGCTGGTTCCATTGATTTCTGAGTGTCTCTTACTTCAGTTGTTTGTCTACTCTTCCCTCCTCATCTAAAAATGACTGGCCCTTTGTCAAAGTCATCTGCAACAATCTGCCACTGTAAGCTGTAGTAAAAATAATTTTAGAAGAAAAGGAGTCAGGTTTAGAGAAGGTAGGACCCTGAAACAAAGATTACTATTATTGAGCTACAAACCCTCAACAATTTCATTGCATTCTGCCATTGATGAATTCATAGCACAAAAAAAGTCAAGACTCCAAAAGGAGAGTGTATTTTTTGTTACAAAGAAAAGCTTTTTAAGCTTCATACTTATCATACTCTTGCCCCTCATGTGATGATCCCACTACTAATATTGGAGGGAGAAATGGGTTGTGCAGCACACCCATGTGATATACATATTTAATATCCATTAGCATGTTAACAAATTAAAAAGCTATGTCAGCAGAAAACACCCTCCAATATCATCTTAGTTCAAGTACTTTCCAAAGAGCAGCTGATGGGAAAGAGGGGTGCAATTACCCCACTTTACCTTACTGTACCTGAATGGTGACCTTGAAGGGGATAGCTGAGATACGCTCCCTCAGATTCTCTGTCAGGCACAAGTCTTCAGGAAGGATGTCTGTAAAGGCCATGAAGCCATACTGTTCCATGGATAGGTCAACTCCCAGGTTCTTGCCAACAAACCTGAACTTCAGATATTTCTGTGGAGGTTCCCAGCCCTATAAATTCACACATTTAGAATAGAAAACTTCACAGTTAACCTATTCATTTTACATTATCATTCCTAATGGCTACATTTCAGAAGACATTCAAATCAACACTCTTTACTTCCTCATGATTCAGCTCAGATCAAAGACTTACATCTGCTTTCACTGACATACTTTATGATGATTTTATTTGATTTGTGTATTGAGTCAATACGCAAACCAAATAAAATTTCATAGATCATATTGGTACTGACTAAAACATTGCTTCAAAGGTGATTCTGATGGCTTCCTTGATCATCACCAATAACCTTCCTCAACCTAGATATTTGAATTATTGATGCCATGTATAAAGCAGTGGAACTTCTTTTTTTTTTTAGTAAAGAATCAATTATTAGTTGTTCTGACCTGTCGAATATAAATGTGCTATGACCTCACCTTGATGCTTCTTTGAGCTTCCATGTACTTTGAAACAAGCTCTTGTCCTAGTCTGGCAGGGAAAGGCTCAGCTTTCTGAATGAGATCACATTCCACAATGATATCACGAAGGGTTTTCTCAGCCTCTGCAAGGCGATCTTCAAGGGTATGATAATCCTGTTTGCCTTCTCCGTGGATCTGGTCCACACACTGCAATGATCAATAGAGACAGTACAGCTAAGTGTCTCAAACTAAACTTCTATATAACCAGGTAAGACTTGGATTTTCATGGTATAAAGAAAATAAAAGCTTACATCAGGTCAAAATCAGGAAAAAGGCCACCAAGTCTCTTATATTTCATGTCCTCAATATCATTCTATTGACCCAGATTGTGCAAAAAAAGTTAATTAAATTTGACTTGCTCTAGCCAACAAGTATTTCAAGTCTCAAAGGAACCATAGATGCAAACCAAATTCAAAACTTCTAATGATTTGAAGCCTGGACACATGACACTTTTAAAACTATCTCTGCTTAGCCTGTTGAAATCTTTCATGTACAGCTTCAAGATTTGTCAAAGATACACTGATAAGATATACATGGGATGCCAAAACCTCAACTTTGCATGTGAAGAGAAAGAGAACAATATTCTGACGTAGATTTCAAGCAAAAGACACATCATGTTCATAGCTTGTTGCCAGTTCTATAAACATCTGATTTGTATACCAAATGCATTTCCATTTTGATATCAGGAAAACAAACAAGGCACTACCTGAAGTTGTCAGGAGCAGTTCAGTGATGAAAGAAGTAGCATTAAAAGTAGAAGAATGCCACTTATCATAGCTAGTATATGTATCTACAAAGTTTAATCCTTTCATGGCTGAATTAAGAAAATGTTTAACTAGGAAATTTTTTCACCACGTTTTCTATTGAACAGGTCTAGCTAAAGACGGAGCTTGCAGAAAATTTCAAATATTTACTCATATATTCAAAAACTAAATTTTTTAATTACAAAAATCATTAACTGAAAATATTGAATAACAGGCCATTGTTCACACATGGGGAGTCCCTAAAACTTGGCCTTTGTCCAAATTTGATCCATCCATTCTTACAGCATGCAAGCATATTTTTCCCTTTTCCCAAAAAAAAGGGAAAAAAATTTCAATTTTTAAATCCAAAATTCCATTTCACAAAAGATCAAACCTATCTGGTCACAACTTTTCTTTTTGATCCAGCTTGCCTGAACTATGACCTATTTGAACGAATGATGCATCACTGAAGAGCCCTTTTCGAGAGCTATTAAGCAGTACCATATAAAACAGGTTGTCCAATGGTCCACAAGAGCAGTCTCAAAAGATATGATCCTTATAATGATCATACGCTATGAAAGGGTTAAGAAAATGGGAGAAGGAAAGAGTCCTGCATGAACAATTGTTCATGGAAGACTCACTTTGCATTTATATGTATATATACAATTATAAAGGGGAGATTTAAATATCCAACAAAGCCATGAAGTGTTCATAGAAGAGATTCAAATTGAAGACCTATAGGAGAATGTCTCTAGCTGTGACACCAGACAGAATGTGGACTCTGGCATTCAAGCCTTTGGAAAACATCTTTTCAGGCCAGGTAAATCTTACACCATACTAATATGAGGATTTAGTTCATAAAGTTTTCTGGATTTTTATTCCATCTTCCCCAAGTTATAAGCTACCCTAAAAAACTTCCCAGCACATGGTTCTTCATTGCTGATTTCCTAAGGCAATAAACAAATTCCATCTTACTCTCTGATCAAGAATATGCATCTCACCTGGATGAAGGCCTTCTCATGCTGCTCATGTACAACCTTTACACTGTTGAAGTAAGAATGGATTTCTTCCTTCACTTTTCTGTCATGTTCTTCCTGCTGTTGCAGGCATGCCTTCACAATTGAGTCCTTGCTGGAGATCTTTAACAAGAGCTTCTTGGAATTTGCTGCAATGCTTGGAATAAGATCCTGAATCAAAAATAAGAAAGTCACATCATATGATCCTACTCAGTTGCTCCTTTGCATGAAGAATAACAGAGATATAAAATTTCAGGGATAATACTAGGTTGTAACAAAAGTTTTTGTGCATACAAACAATGCAACAGTCTGCAAAGCACAATTTTTTCGTCACACATTCTGAACACTGTAATTTTGATGAATTTAGTGATTTGTAAAAAAAAAAGCAACATATATTTATACACGACATAAAACGCGCTTTCGTTCAGAATGTGTGCTGAAAAAATTGTGCTTCGCGGACTGTTGCGTTGTTTTTATGCACACAAACTTTCGTTACAACCTGGTAATTCCTAAGTGGCTTCTTGATTTTTAAATTACTTCAAATATGTTAGCATGTTAAATAGACACAAGGAGTGCATGTGAGAGATCATGAATGCTACCAGGCAAGTTTAGGAATAGGATTAAGTTTTAGACATAAAAAAATTTGGAATATAAAGTTCTTGGTTTACTCATGATGTTTTTTATTGCCCAAAAAATAGTTCTGAATGAACAGAGCTTTCCTCAAAATACTTCACAATTTCATAATAATATGTCAATGCTAAACTGCAACCAGTATTATCCATGGATGACAGACCTAGAAAAAACCATATCCTGGAGAGAATCTCAAAATAATCTCAATATAACAGGCATAGAGTTCATTTAACTTTATAAAACCTAACATTGGCATTTCTAGCTCACCATTTCAACTGACATTATCACTAATTTGGAGCAAGTCTGGACAAAACCTTAAGGTTAATTTAAGCCCATGCCCAGGTCTGCTGAACTTCTGCATAGGCTACCATATCAACACAGAATGAATATTTATAAGAATTTTCCAAATACCTTCAAATCCATTTGCATACCTTTTCTGATGCCTATGCATAAATTTCCATGCATTAATTTTGGTCTGCCTGACTTCATGCTAGGAAAACCATAATTAATGGGACTACATCCAAATCTGACACATTTTCTCCAGAGTGGAAAGTTTCCATTCAATTTCCACATTTTAAGGGCCACAACAACCAAGCTTTGTCCAGGCTTAGGCCTAAAGCCTTATATATCAACTCATAATTCTGCCTTAAAATTACTTAGTGGTTTACAACTGCTGGCATGCACACCATTACTGCTACTTCTGGGTTTTATTCCCAGTAGGCATAAAATAATATTTTTTAATGCATATATCAATTTTAAAATCTGGTGGCTGTGGATTGTTCACAACTTCACTGCATTTTGGCAAATGTATTAAATTGACAATTTCAAATTATGGTTTCGGGTACAGTCGAGATCTAAATCTCGACCACGCTTGGTCTGATGATGTAGATGAAGAGGTTGAAAACCACTGGCTCGTATGACTGGCCATCCTAAGTCATCCTGGGTTTCGAGTCGAGCTTTAACGCTGTATTACAGACCAGACACGTAACGAAACCTTAAACCTAAGCGATGTCGACCGGTCGGCTTACCGAAGTATCATAAGGCGAAGCAGTTTCAGCGGGCAGGCCTGCTCCCAGGCCGAGTCGGTCCATGCCGGAGCGCCGTCCTCTCTCGGAGTGGACCCCACGTGACTCTCACGAGACGAGAGAGTGCCTGCGCCCGCGCTGTCGAGCGCCTCTTTTTTGCCGATTGATGGATCGAGTGTCGGGGGGGATTTCGAGTTCCAGCGAATGCCGTCGTGCACCTGAGCAAACACGTGCAGGGGTAATGCGGGTAACTCGCGAGAGGCGGGATCGGATGTGTACTTTCCAGAGCGAAACGATTTTGCATTAGTTTTAAAATACCCGCTTTCAACGAAGTGGAATGCATGGTCCCCAACCTCTTCGTTCTAACCGGATTTGACTGTCTCGGCCTACCATGCACGGCAGGCCTGGTCCAGATGTTCTAAATTGGTTTAACACAAACATTTGCAAAATCTGCCGCTCCTATGCCCCACGCTAGGCCTACCGCCAAGTACGGAAAACTGAACCAGAGCGTTGCACTCAGCTGCGATTTTTTTTTTCGGCCTCTGAACCCCATGTACATCTGGAATCTATCCTAGAAGCTAATGCACGAGCCCGTACGATCGATTTTCTCACAAATAAAAAAATAATATAAATAACCGTTCCATTAACAAATCACTGCGACAAGAGGACCGGATATTAAAGATGGCGTGTCTCTCGTACATCTCTGGACCGCGCCCGCAAGGTAAGCTCATCCCTAACCCCAACCTTAAGACCGTTGCTTCGTCGAACCGACTGGATATAAGACGTCTCCCGTCTCGAGCGTGGCAGTACTCGCTCCCCGTTGGACTCGAAGAGGTCCGGGCCGGAGGGGAACGACGGTGTGGGCGAGGCGAAGGACGTGTGTGGGTGGTCGCATTATTCTATTCCTGGTTTTTTTTTTTTAATTCCGAGAAGTAAGGGAATGATATTGCCTCGTCCCTTGAAAAATAAGTGGGAACGCCTTTATTCGTGCTTTCCCACGTAATCTCTTCTCATTAGAATGCTTTCGGCTGCGACAAACGTGGGAGTTCGACCAAAGGCAAATGATTAGGGCCTAAGTCCTCCGTTCTCCAGCGATTCACACGTTCTCGACGAACGAAGCATTGTTTTCTTGAGCCCATCGACCCGAACGGAACGAAGTCTAGCCTCCCCCGGTCTCGCCTAGATGTCTCTGGAGTCGGGGCACCGGGGCGAAGCCGCTGCGCCGCGTCGAGCCAGTCGTCAGCGCGTGCCTGCGCGGCTGGCTGCCTCGGACGCGGGGAAGAACCACGGTGGCCCGAGCGATCGAGGGCGATCGAGGGCAACGCCAAAGGGGGGAAACGGCGTCGGGCATCAAGCATGCATCGCAATCGGCGTTGATTGGTGTTCCCGGATCGCTTCGGTTTCGTGTCGACGCGGCCAACTTCGAGAAGGCGTCGCCCGTCGGGCGACATCTCGACTCCTCGACCGAAGGCCTCCATTTTCCATCAACCTCTCCGTTTCGTGACGTCACTGGAGCGATCATGCCATGAAGAATCGCTTCCTCCCCGGCGTGTAACTGACGCGATAAACCCTAAATGTCCTCATATGTCCTTAAATGTCCTTAAATTTCCTTAAATTTCCTTAAATGGCCTTAAATGTCATCGTGCGCGGAGATGAATCCCCGGAATGCGAAACCATGAAGGACAACATGATGGACCCTTAAAGGGAGCTGAATTAATTAATTCTCCTTTGAAACAGTTGAATTAATTTTTTTGTCGGGTCCGTTTTGTTCTTCCAGGCCTTCTTTTGTTATCGAGAGACAGCTGAGAAAATCTTATCTGCAACCGGACCAGCCGACACGGAACGGACTGGCCTCATTCGCCTTCACCTCGTAAGTTTCCTTCCGATTTCTTTTCGGATTCGTGGTAGGAAGGCGGGGAGATGGGAGTCCGGATCCCCGAACGAAGCTTCCTGAAACGCTCGCTAGATGTCTCCAGTCCACTTTTACGCGCGAGGCCCTCGCGTCTCCCATCGGATTTCAATCAGAAGGAAGAAAACAGGCGACGAGTTCATTCGAGCATTGCAGTGTACGGAAAACTCTTTGCCTGTTAGCGTGACTCTGCCGACCGCGAAGGGAGGCGATGTCGCCGACCGGGGGGAGCGACCGTGACGTGACCTCCTGCCGTTTCTGGGCGGAGAAGTCGCCGGATGAAAAAGAAATTACACGCATTATATATAATTGTATTTATTGAAAGGCACAGTGATCCCATGATTATTTTCAGGCGTAAGAAAGTCACCTCGAACGGTTTCGAGACGTAACGAGCAAATCTCTTTCGACTCCCACAACCGATCCCCACAGCTTAAGATCCACACGGCTCGAGATCCCCACAGCTTAAGATCCACACAGCTCGAGATCCCCACGGCTCAAGATCCCCTCAGCAGTTCCCTGAGCAAGGAGATCCCCTCGACGTGGACGACCAGGGTCCCGATCCCTTGCGACGCGTCGTCGTCCACGAGGTCGAGGCCGAAGGACTTGGACTCTCCACCTCTCTCCATCACCTTCCTCAGGTTCAACTCCGCCTTCCTGCAAGGGAATCCTCTGGTGAGAACTTTATCGTCGAAGCCGAAACGAATTCGGGAACGAGGGAAGGTGCGTGTCGGCCCCATGCACGGACCCCGGGACGCCTGCGGGTCGCCGCCGCAAGGGGGTGTGGATATCGCAGGGATGTAGATATTGCAAGGTTGTGGATATCTCGGAGGAGCGGATAACTCAGGGGTTCTGATATCTCGTCGAGAGCAGGAAAACAATGCATGCCCATTTGTTGAAGGTCCTCGCCCCCCCCCCCCCCC